AACCAACTCAGAAGGAAGGTTGGGCAATCCTACTTCCGTAGTGATACTGCCTCGGAAACCCAAGGAGGGGTCGCTATGAGTCAGGTCTGACTTGACGGCACATAACAACAACAACAACAAGGGAACCAAGGGGTAACTCATCAGATGCTACTGAAATAAATGAAGAGAAAAAGAAAGAAAATGAGGGGGCAGGAGGAAAGGAAACAAAGATAGAAAATTAATGTCCATACCAACCAGTGTCAGAACTCATAAGCAACTTCCAACACCACTAAAGCAAAGGTGTGCCTAGTACTTATGTCCTTTATTTTACTTTAATATCTTAACGGTACTCTGATAACAAAAGAGGGCATTAGTTGCTGCAAAGATGCTTCCAACTCATGGCAATGCCATGTCCATCAAAAGATGATAAATAAACAAAATAGGGTATATACAGACAATGGAATATTATTCAGTCATAAAGCAAAATGAAGTTATGATACAAGTACAACATGGCTGAAGCTTGAAAACATTATGTTGAATGAAATAAGTAAGACACAAAAGGACATATATCAGAGGATTTCCAGTAAGATAGCGGAATAAGCAGACAGGCTACACAGGCTCTCTTCAACAAAGAAAAGAGAAACCAATTGACAGAGATACAGAAGATAATCCTAGAGCCCTGAGCTTTGAAAGGAAGTATACAGAAGTGGATTAGGCACAAACTATTGGAAAAACCTGAATGAAAACAATGAGTACAGAGATGGATAGAGCTGCGGACTGTCAGTTACTCTGATGGCACCAACAGCCTGAGTATTTCCAAGTTGTGTTGGGACCTGATAATTGACCTAAAGATCAGCCATAGTCACCAGGGGCTGCAGGGATGACTGCACTGGTGGCCTATGACCAGGAAGGGAAACAGTAAGGGGGAAGACACATGAGCTATGGACTTTTGGCTGTCCAGAGGGCACAGCCATTTTGGATATTTGAAGTGACCGAGGGTGCAGCCATTTTGAATGTGTACAAGCAGCAGCCATTTTGGATATTTGAAGTGACTGAGGGCGCAGCCATTTTTGAATGTTTACAAGTGGCAACTATTTTGGATTTTAAAGTGACAGCATTCTGTTTGCCAAGGACAGCAGGGACATACGGGTGGCTGACAACAGGAAAGGAGACAGCTGGTGAGTGTATAAGTGCTGCCAACAAGTGAATAGAGGAGCACAGTACCCTGTTTATATAGATAACCTACAAACAAAACAAAGAAAATGAAAATCATGGGCAAGTCACTCCAACATACAATCACAAATGAAATATAAACACAAAAACATCACAATGTCTCAGAGACAACAGACCATTACAGTCCACACAAAGAACCAAGATAAAGCAGGAGAAACAAGGGATCAGGATATAGACCAAAAACACATTTCTGAGGAAGAAGCAGCATTGCAATTCCTTGATAAGGAATTCAAAAGAATTATATTTAGATACCTTCAGCAAACTGAGAGACAGATCAAGGAAAACACTGACAAAATTGAGGGAAACACAGACAAAACCCTAGAACAATTTCAAAAGACAACAAAAGAACAAAATTAAAAAATAAATTAAAAAGTAGAAATGATACAAAATCTACAGACAAAAATCCAGAAGATTAATACTAAATTTTCAGGAAGAGATAACACATTGAAAGGGCAAAGGAGTAGAATCGATGCAATGGAAGACAGAATTAGTGAGACTGAAGACAAATACGTGAATACTTCTTTGGGAAGGGATCAATCAGAAAAAAGATCAAAACAAAATGAAGAAAGCCTAAGGTTCCTGTGGGATCTCATCAAAAGGAATAATCTGTGTGTCACTGGAATTCCAGAACAGGAAGAGAAAAATAAAACCACTGAGAAAACTGTCCAAGATTTGTTGGAAGAAAATTTTCCTGGTATGATGAAAGATGAGAATA